TTCCCACCGCGCCGCCGGCTCTGCCCCTCCGCTGCCTTCACCTCCTCGAGGCGGGCGGACACCAGCGCGGGCTCCCAKGTCGGCGGCCCGGTCACCGGCGAGTCCCGGCTGGATTTGAGCCCTTTGGGACCCATGGCGGCCGCAGCAGCCCCGCCGGCCCCACGCGTTTCCCCGGAGACCGAGCCCGCGGGCGGTGCCTGCGGCCGGAGCAGCGCTGGGCCCGGCCCGGAGCCCGCCCTGAGCGCCGCTCTTACCGGTACGCGCTGGGGGAACCGGGCCTGCTCGGCCTCAGCGTCTGTAAAATCACTCGTATCGGTGTCTATAAAATCACTCGTATCGGTGTTGTTAGGAAAATTAATCCACAAGCACCAGAGGTTTATGTGCAAAAAGGAGACAGAGGAGTCCTGCAACTTTTATTCGTGAATAAAGGGAGAGGTCATGGGCATTTCTCACGGGGTCTCAAATTCATAGAGGATTAACTGCAGCCTCTTTTATCCCAATTTCCCGGCTGTAGTTCCCTCTCTCTTKCCCCATTGCTGAGGTACTTGAGAGTTACAGGCTCCCCGGAATGCCTGATGCAAACCCCCTTCTATCATACATTGCCCTCATACATCTCCGTATCTCTGCTCAGGTAGTCTATTAACATAGTCTGGGATAAGTCAATCAGTGGAATTCCTATGGAAATCCTTCCCATTGTTTCCTTCTATCTCCCAGTATCATCCTTATCTTACCCCCAGAATCAGTCTGTTTGTAAAGACACTACCTTCTCATTCCTTTAATTCCTCATTCTATAAAATCACTCGTATCAGTATCTACAAATACCTAAAGCGGGAGTGTCAGAGCAAGGAGCCAGGTTCTGCTCGGTGATGCCAAGCCGTAGGACAAGAGGCAACGGGCAGAAATTGTTGCACCTGAATACCAGTGAGAACTTTGCTGTGCGGGTGACCACACACTGAAACACGTTTCCCGGAGAGTTTGGGGAGTCTCCCACACTGGAGGAACTCAAGAACAGTCTGGATGCAATCCTGTGATGTAGGACAACCCTGCTTAAGCAGGCAGGTTGGACCAAGATGAYCCACTGTGGTCCCTTCCAACCTGATGGGACCACAGTGGCATTCTCATGGGGCCTTGGGGTGCTTTCAGTTTTTGAGATGAGTGGGCCCCAGCACAGCCACCCAAAGGAGAGGCATCACCAAAGCTGTGTGGGGAGTGTTGGGACTCTACATGCTCACCTGGACACCAAGTGACACATATGGCTGGGGCACCAAGAGACACATCTCATCTCTGGGGCACCAAGAGACACATCTCATCCCCAGGGCACCAAGAGACACATCTCATCCCCAGGGCACCAAGTGACACATCTCATCCCCAAGGCACCAAGTGACACATCTCATGTCAGGGGCACCAAGAGACACAGCTCATCCCCAGGGCGCCAAGTGACACATCTCATCCCCAGGGCAACAAGTGACACATTTCATCCCCAGGGCACCAAGAGACAATCTCATCCCCTGGGCACCTGACATATCCCATCTCCGGGGCACCAAGTGACACATCTCATCCCCAGGGCAACAAGTGACACATTTCATCCCCAGGGCACCAAGAGACACATCTCATCTCCAGGGCACCAAGTGACACATCTCATCCCCGGGGCACCAAGTGACACATCTCATCCCCAGGACACCAAGTGACCCAAGAGACACATCTCATGTCTGGGGCACCAAGTGACACATCTCATGCTGCAGGACACCAAGTGACACATCTCATGCCCGGGGCACCAAGAGACACATATCACCCCAGGGCACCAAGTGACACATCTCATCCCCAGGGCACCAAGTGACACATCTCGTCCCCAGGGCACCAAGTGACACATCTCATGCTGCAGGGCACCGAGTGACACATCTCATCTCCGGGGCACCAAGTGACACATCTCATCCCCAGGGCAACAAGTGACACATCTCATCTCCGGGGCACCAAGTGACACATCTCATCTCCGGGGCACCGAGTGACACATCTCGTCCCCAGGGCACCAAGGGACACATCTCATCTCCAGGGCACCAAGTGACACATCTCATCTCTGGGGCACCAAGTGACACATCTCATCCCCAGGGCAACAAGTGACACATCTCATCTCCGGGGCACCAAGTGACACATCTCATCTCCAGGGCACCGAGTGACACATCTCATCTCC